AGCTATCGGCCCAGCGCATGCAGCGTTTTCGCGTCACATTGAACTTGAGCAAAACTGCCCGCGAAAACGCTGCTTGTCACTACCATACGCTGCGTTTGCTAGATCGATATCTATAGTTTCCTAGCGTACGCTCGAAAGGCTGACGCTGACGCAAAGTATGAACAGAGCTGGACAAGTATTAAATCTGCTGTGTGAGCGAGAATCTAGAGAAAAAGTATGAGAGCAGGTGAGTGAGAGAGATGAGAGATCTGTGTGATCTATCTCCAACAATTACTGCAACCGGTTCTACGTGTGGCAACCTTTCGGCGTGACTGCCGTAGCACCCTCTTCAGTCACTGTAGGGCAGCGAAAGGGGACCTCTGATGGACAAGACTACCCAGACAAAGAATGGGTCCTATGAATCAAGTAGCCCAGGAAAGAACCTTCAGTTTTGCTGCTTCCACCCATCGAAGAGTTCATACATTGTGAATGCTGAGAGCTCGGGTGATTGCGCTTTATGAGAGCTTTCGACACCGATTCCCTCAAATCACGGATTCCTATGAACACTGCCTTATCGAGAGAAACAATATTTCAACAAAAATAACGGACAAACGCAGTAATATTGCAACTCACATCGTCCATTTTCAGTGAAGATGGAATAGAATGAGTAAATCCAATATCTCTTATAGAAGCTATCATACGGTAGGTGCTTGTCCCCTCATCACGAATGGCGTCGTCATCACTGAAAATAATAGCAAGCAAAACTATAAGATGAAGCAGCGCTTTCTCCATGATCAAGGAACTATTTTGCAATTTTGTGTGCTGCATTACCAAAGAAGACAGAATAGGAATAGAACAAATAACTTACTAAGTAACTTGGCCAAGCCAGAAACTCTTGTCGTATAACAGGGGCTCCACGGGCTTGCTGCAAAAAGTTGGTTGAGTTTACAGTATGACGGAAAGAAAAAAAAATCGCTTTCGTTATTGAGGGAAAGCACGCTGATGAACAACTGTCTAATCGTTACCCTTCTAAAAGTGAATAACCCCTTTTTCCAAGCATGATTTGGGCTTTTGGAAAGAGCAAACTTCTGGCGTCCGCGCTATGCAGCCCATCGTTCCCACCTCCTCAGTTACAGTAGCACCGAGTAAGCACACTAACCTCGTCTGCAGAACATCAAGAGGATCATAGCCCTCCCAGAACATCAGCCTCATTATAAATTGGTAATACCAGTGCATGAAATTGAAGGAGTTGCTTCCACTACTCTATAATTTCAACACAAAATTTCAAACTAAATAGAAGCATTAACAAATTTCGGCGCAGTTCAGTGTTGGGAGGGGGGCACTAAGCAAAGCCATCAGGTAACGTTGTGAAGATCTGTAACCCTTGTGATGCTAGGAAATAATAGAAGTGAGCCTGTCTGGCTCACTTCTATTTCCCAGCATCACAAGAGTTTACAGGTATCACCAAAGTGTTACCTGTTAATTAATGTGAACTAGCAAAAGTAACTTCAAGGGCAAAATGCCCCTCCCAAGACGAACAGTATCCAAATCTCTACCATTGTAGATGAATGAAATTCTCGCACATCATCCAAGCCAAAACACAGTTTCAGAGCCATCAAAATAAAGGCGATAGCTTTCGTTTCGGTAGAGAAGAATATGCTAAACGGAAAGCATATGATACCTTGAAGTTCGTACAACAATGTAGTTAACAAACTCAGTATTCCCATTGTTCTCAGTGTGAAATTTTGGGCGACCAAATACAGACAACACATCAGAGTAACCAAAACCATCTTTAGATGCTGCAAATCCATTGGAAAACGAACCCTAAAGATGCAGTTGAACACTTGTCAAGGATATTAATTGAAATCCTATCTCACCTGCTCAATACGCCCTTGTCTTCGTAAGCTGCTCTCATCGAGACTGACACATGGAGGCGCTTTTTCCATTAGCAGAAGAATGTGCTCCATCAAAGCTTCCGGAAGATTCAAATGGTACATTATGCGAGATACGATCTAAAAATAAGAACTCAGTTTCGCGCAAAAAAATCTTGAAAGTGCCGGAAAATTCCAACGCGAACAATTTCATAATTAGTTCCTCTCTTTAACATTCACAAAAATCATAGCCCTGTGTCTAAAAGAGCTAAGGACAAATCTTTCACAGTTAATCAACATCTTTGGTATGCGCCATGCATCATCCATCGGCTCGGAATCGTAGCGGCATAAGAAAGCGATTATACCTTGACCGTAACTTTCCGGAAGACCCATCAGTCATTGCTTTGTTCTCCAAGAGAAAAGCAGTGGTTCACCCATGAGAAGTCCAAGGATTCATTGGACAGGGAGGCAGCTGAAGGACATGCATGGGCCTCGAACCGTATCCTTTCGCCCCTATCGGAAAATTGTTTTCACAAGTATTCTACTTGATGCCAGGTTCGCTTGCATACAAATGAAGAATAAAATCTGATTTCAAAGATCCCTTGATTTTTAACTATCGGCTCTGTACAATCACAGCAGTGGTCTACTGGCAGCGCACCTTGGCTTTTTATACGTAACCAAACCATACTGATAATTGTTCACGCAAAAATGAGCTGAA